ATTAGGCCTGTCACAACAAAAAATTTTGATTTATTTATTTTTTTTTGCTCCCAGAAATTATTGAAATAAACAATAGTATTGTCACATTTTGAACAAAAATGTAATAATGGCTTATTACTATACATATATCCACTCAAAGATTAAAAAATGTTAATTTCTGAAAAACATTTAACAGTAGAAAACATTTAAATATCAAAAATTAAACAAAACAGAAACAACAATAAAGTCTCTTTAATTAAAATTGCATTTTAAATAATAATTATTCAGCTCAGACCGGGAAAACAGGCAAAAGTGGCAGGTAGTGCAAACTAACTACTTTGCACACTGGGTGTCAAATGTTTGCAGTGTTTCTCCAAATGACTTTTCAACAATTATAAAAGAGAACATCTCTTTAACAACTGTTTTCCAAATCAAAATTATTGTGATTAATTGATTTCATGCCATTAATTGGTTTACTGCTTATTATAATCAAGATATTTGCACTAGAAACTACAAGAAAAATACTTGGCAAGATTTTGTGTTTGTGCAGTAAAGAAATGGCTTAGAGAAATGAGACTCTAATCTTAAAATATTACTTTTCTAATGTGGGATTCAAAAAATAACAATTTGATTTTGAGATTATGCTCCATCAACCAAATATAAATTCATTTTGAGGCATTTCTGAGTTCCACATGTCCGTAACTAATCCACGCTCCATAATAACCAGAGTCTATTGCGGATAATGAGTTGACGTCTGTCTGCAGGACGCCGGCTGGCTGTGTGAAAAGGAATGCTACCTGGACATGCTGTCGTCTCCACAGCACACGGCCAAGGAGCTCCGTGTCCTCTGGGACAGGAAGAGGACCTGCGGAGACCCCTGCGGGTGTCCCTGGGACCACTGATCCTGGTCCGCTCCAGTGGCACTGTGGGTAAAAAGAAGACACTTCTCTCGTTCAGTTTCTTAAAACGTCAAACTCAGCGGTGGTTCGATATTCTGCTACGATGCAAAGACTTGAAGTGATTTTCTTCTGAATTATAATGTTGAAAATATTAAAATAAACAATCTGCAGATAAAAGGTTTGTTTTAAAGATACGATATGTTCCTTTTATAAAAAAATATTTATATTTGTTGAAACAATCACTATGTGGTGACAGATAATCTGTGAACAAATTGAGCTCCTCTGCCTTCTCCCAGTGCTCCCAGTGATAACTAGAAACAACCAGTCAGAGTCCGGAGGTACATCTTTGCGCTGCTCATCTCCCCTCTCTCTCCCACCATGCTATCTGCTGTGCTGCAGCTAACACAACCTGTCATGAATGCTCAGATTAGTGAGCATGACTGGAGAAAAACAATTTTCCTGAATCTGTAAATTGCTTCTGTGCCTTTAGCACATTTAGAAGCAAGAACATGAGGTTGATTGACAGCACTAAGACCCTCCTCCTGGCTCTGATTGGTTGTTTTTGGTCAGGAGCAGTGGAGATGTTTTCACTGATTATCTGTCTCATAGCAAACTGTGATAACATGGTGACAGTTTTAATAGATATATGGAAAAAAAACATATATATATTTTAATAAAAGTTACATATTGCACCTTTAAACTCAGATTTACTTGTACTTTACTGTCAGTAACTCTTGTTAGTTTTAACAATTTTAGAAAAGTTTAAGTGATGGAGAAGAATCATGTACAGAATGACTTCTTAGAAGGCTTTAATAATGTGATCTAAAGGGAATATTTAATAGCATTTTAAAGACGAGTTGCTTTATTTTGTGAACATGTTGTCACCCCCCCTCAACGTTTGTAGATTTCTCACAAGCAGCAACTCTTTGTACTGTATCAGTTCTCGTGCAAATAGTGAGTGATGTGGCCTTACCGTGTTTGTTCGCCATCGTTCCGTACGTCGCAGACATCTTGAGCGACTGAATCAGATGCTTCAACAAGCAGACGCTCTTAGAGGTCAACAAAGAACCCAAGAAAAGAGATGAAGACTTTGCCTGGTGTTTATTTCCGGCTGGAAACTCGACCTCTGCAAACATGAAGTCAGCAGACTTGAGTCTTCTTTTAAAGGAATAAGAAATCCTCCTCCAGCAATTGTGTTGAAGCGACAGGAAGCAGAAATCTGCTGGAAAATCTTTGGAGAACTGATCGATGTTGATCAGAAGACAGCAGATCGAAGCTGAGTTCCGACAGCTAAGATCCCCCCCAGGCTGTTTGTTTTTGTAAATAATGAAAGCTGATGCTTCATATTTTATTAAAGCAGAATTATACAACTGTTTTGTTTGGATTTTTTATTTTTCTCTGCCAGCCAAAGAGGTCCTGACATGGCAGCAGATATTCCTCTCTCCTCCTCTCATCCTTTCACTCGGCTTCATGATAACACATCCTGCATCTGTTCCACTCTCTCAGCTTAGATAAGCACGCCATTTTTTCCAGCCCATCAGCTTCTCCCTCTGATTTGGCTCGAAGCCCCTCGTCATGAGCCGAAAGCGGCGTGGAAATGACACGGGAGATGAAAAATAATCTCGCTTTCTGTACGAGTGCCTCTGTAGATTATGGAGTTATTGATTTTTGTCTTAACTTTGATGAGCGATGTGGAAACGTTGTCACTCACTGACATATCCCAAATCCTCTAAATCCTTGATTTGCAGGCCTGCTCAGTCGTACATACAGATGATACCAGATGATGAAATCAGCTGAACTGGAACTGGGGACAAACTGGAGCATGTTTAGTTGCAGATTTGTGTAATGTATTGTGTTTGGATTCTCCTCAGGCTTCTAGAATAGAAAGTTTATCAGTTGCTATAAATGTATTCATACACTTTGAACTTCTTCAGTTTTCCTCACGCTACAACTGTAGTGAAACTATTTTTATGTGAGCAGCACAAAGCAGCGCTACACTAGAAACAGCAGATTAACATCTGTAAAGATTGACCTACGACTAACGCTGCGTTTACACTGCAGCCTGAAATAACCCAATTATCCTTTTTTATTTTTTGGTAATAAATTAATCTGATCTTTTCATGATAGTCTGAGCAACAAAGGTCGGATGTTTGTTTTTCTAATGCGACCCAGGCCGTTTGGATATCCGACACGTATCCCCGTATCCCCATTGCGTCCACGTCGCATTCATCTGACGTCATAGATGCTCGACAAACGTCACTATTGTGCGCCCTGATACGCGCTTGCGGTAATAAAAACATCCAGGGCGGACAATAACGAGGATTAAGTTGTTAATATGTTGGCTTCAATCGGACAACTTAAAAATTGTAAACTATGCTACACCGTTAGCATCCACGTTTACTTCCGCAAACACTGAGCACTTCTTTTTTAAGGAGGTTGGCAAAACACTGAGCACGCTCTCTGTATGACGTTATTGCCCCCTCTACTGCGCATGCGGGACAGTTTAAGCTTGTTTCCAGTTCACACTGGAGCTCATGTATTTGGAAGTGTGAACGGCCACGGCAAAAATAATCCGATTTGATAAAAATTTAAATTGGGTCACTTTAGGCTGCAGTGTGAACGTAGCCCAAGAGGAGTTGAAAAGGAATCTTAATGGAGAGAAGGAGGAAGTTCAAACTAAACCTTCCATTAATCATAATGGACGAGGTTTAAATTGGGACTAAAACGATGACTGAAATAATCAACTAATTTAGTAATCGATTAATCACTAATTGGAGCATACAGATTCAAAGTAAGACAATTTGCTGAAAAAACTACACACTCAGAGCAGTAATCAAGCCAAAACTTTACAAAAAATACACACATTTTACATTTAAGATAAAAAAAAAAAAACTTCTTTGTTCTATTCCAAACTTCGCAAGTGATGTGACAGTTTTAGCTTTGTCTGGTTCAAAAATAAATCTATTAATCACCTTTTGCTCAGTTATTAATCAGTTAACCCAAAAAGTAATGAACAGATCATCCCTACAGTGAACTGATGCTAGATTAAGCTGACTTTCTAACCAGACAGGGATTTAGAGAGGAGCAGCAAAAGCAAATGAGGTGATTAGCATCGTGTTTCTTGATCCTGTGGAGTATCATCACTGCTGCCTGGATAGTTTTGAGGCTATCATACAGCAGGCTATTACCATTATGTTGGAAACTTTTCTTTTGTTTACTTTATTTTCCACAAATATCACAATGTCTTTCTTAGATTTAAAACCTGAAAACATAAATAAAATGGTAGATTTTTTTTAAATGACCACAAATTTCCTACTGCAGATCTTCATTAAACATTTTTAGTTGTCTTTTCACAAAAGTTCATGTCACATTTCTCACATTTATGTCACAACTCTCTAAATGAGTTGCATTTAGAGAGTTGACGTCAAAAACATGTCTTTAAAGGTAAAGGTTACAGATCCCTGGCTTTGTCAAAGTTCAGACCTAAATCCATGAGAGAATAAAAAAAAAATACATTCAAAGATGCTACAGACACGCCCTAATAGAGCTGCAGCTTTAATTGCAGGTGTAAAATTAAACTCAGACAATAATTTTAAGTTAATCTTTAAAGAGAAAATTAAAACTGTGCATCTTTTCCCTTTTATTTCACAATAATGCTCTACTTTACTTGTAATGTGACAAAATTAATGCAATCTTTTCAGAGTTTCTCTGTCAAACCCCAGATGTAGATGCTAAAATGTTCCTAAACCGGCTTCTGATTGAAAAACCGGTTCTGAAGAATTCCCTTGATCTCCAACAAATCAATAATCTGAACTAGTGGAGCTGTGCAGCAGTGAAACTGGGTTTAATGAAAAGATGTAATCTGGCTGACCCAGAATCCAATTCATCTCTGTTTGATCATTACAGACCTAGACCAGTTAAATTGCCTGTCCTCGAGCATATGTAGTTTTTCAAGAGAGAGAGAGAGAGAGAGCACATTGTCTAATTTTCACTCTATTAATATTTCCCAGAGAAAGTGCAATCATCAGTTTAGCATGAGGAAGGAACTGCCTGTAGAAAATGGAGGGGAGCGCGCTGCATTTAATTGTGTTTAGAAAATCCTTTTCATCTTGAGTCTCACTTCTTCCCCAAACTCATCTTCATGCAGCAGATTGAATAAAAGGGTTTGTTGATGGTACAAATTTGAGTCCTGTTTTCTTTAATGGGTTTTGCAGACGCTCTATTATATGTTCTCTATATATGTAATTTTTCTTCGTTGAGGCATGAAATGGGTGCACAATTTTAAAGAAGCTGCTAGATGTGCTGTGAGGCAATCAGCAGAGCTTTTTGATGTTTTTGTCTTTCCTTAAAGTTGAATTGTCCATCTTTACCTGTACCACATCCCCTAATATGCAGTTAAAAACGGTTACTTACACCAAATAAAGTCACATACACATTTTTTTCTCACTGTTCTTTTGTTTCAGATTAGGTAGAATTACAAAAATTATTTTGATTTGCTAAATGCCAGAAAATCTAGTAGGAAAATTTTTTGTACGTTGTACTGTCTTAACTTAACTTTGAAGTACGGAGGTGGCAGCATCATGTTGCGGGGCTGCTTTTCTGCAGAAGGAACTGGTGCACTTCAAAAATATTGACGCAACATCTAGAGACATCAGCCAGAAAGTTAAAGCTTTGGTCTTCCAAATGGACAATAACCCTAAACACTCAGACAAAGTGGCTATAAAGTAGCATAAAGACAAAACTGATGTTTTACCACGGCCGTCAAAATCTTGGAGAACTTCTGGGTAGATCTGAAGAGGCATATAGATGAGGCAGCCTACAAATCTGACTCGGTTCCACCAGTTCTGTCAGAAGGAATGGACCAGAACTTCTGTAAACTATTAAACCCAAAAGGTTTGACTCAAGTCATACAGTTTAAAAGACAGTTATCTCTAATACTGATCAGCTGAATGTAAACTTCTGAATTCAAAGAAAGTTGCAGAAAACTTATCTAAAACATGTTCCTGCTTAGTTTTCTGGCATGTAGCAAATATAAATAATTTTGGTAATTCTGACTGACCTAAATCAAGAAAGGTTTGGTCTGATCTAATTTCTGAAATTGAGAAAAAAAAAATCTCTTTTTATTCGCTGTATGTAAACTTCTGGTTTCAGCTGTATCAAGTTTTATTTTATTTTAT